TGTTCAGGATGTAATTCCGTGGCATGATGCACTCACACGGATAACCTACCCACTCACACTGGGACAACTTAGCCACACAATTTCAGGTAACATGCACAGCACTGGGATGTGGGAGGAAATCAGAGGACCCGGGAGAAAATCCACATATACGTGAGAACGTGCAAACTCCACACAGGTAGTGGCCCAGGTCAGGAATCAAATTTTATTTTTTATGAATGTTACCATGAAACAATGTTGAAGAAAATGACATTTGAGGTCCTACCGTACTTAGGATATATTAAATATTTTATTTACTCAACTTACAGTTTGCAAATAATCTGTCCTTTTCCAAAAACACTCTAAAACTTCCCTTAGTTACCAAGACTACTTCTACTAATGATATAGAAGTATTATAACTAAAGAAACTGGGTGGAGACCCAGGGCTTGAGTTACAATGCAGAATCTGACATGATAAACACCAGGTTCAAGGACACTACTACTTCTCCTATATGTGAATTAAGAGAGGCTTTGTGGGCTGAAGTGGGATTATAAAACCGACTTGAAAAGAAACTGTACCCAAGGTTCCAAGGCACATCTTACTGCATTTGACATGTAATCTACTCATAAACTGGAATGACTGCAATAAAAATCTTTACAAGAAGCATAAATATTACAAATGAAGTCTATACTTCAAATTGAACACATAATTTCTGAAAGTAAAACTAATGTGGTAAGATTATTTTTTCTATCAGAAGTATGTTCAATATCCAAAGTTTTCCAAATACAAAAAAAGTGGCAGTCATATTTTAAATATAAAATCTGTAATATCAAAAATTGTTTTTTTTTTTTTTTTTGGGTCCTACAGTAAAAAAGAAACCCACGCTTTTGAAATATTACCTTTTATATGTTTCCAGGATAACTACACCAAATTCACCAAAAAGCACATCACCATACTTTAAGAAAAATTAATTCCTAAGATTAAAGAAAAAAAAAGTCTGGGTTATACAGTTATTTCACACTTACGTCAAATTAAATTTAAAATTAAACTGCCATGTTGAAGTTCCTGGAGGGTATTCTCCTTGCTCATTCATAAATGTCAGTCCTAGCTGAATTATCTTTAACAAGTCTACATTACACCGCAGTAGTTGGTATTGATAGTCAGCATTGCTCCTGAATTCTCCAATGGGTCTTGCAACCACACCTGGAAATTCGGTGTCCTGTAAAAGTTTTAAGATTCATTATGTACGAAACAGTCACAACCACAATCCACACACTCTTACTCATTTTTGATGCAAATCAAAGAATCCTACAGGTGATGTTCTACACATTTATATTCAATTACAAAGTATCTTTTAACTAGAAAGAACATTACTTTTTAGAACCATAAAACTCTACAAACATAATAGCCTTTTCTTAAATGTATCCAAATTACTACTATGAGATACATGTGATAAATGTAACCAAATACTTACTCTATACCCAAGAAAGGGGGAAAAATCATAAATTTCTAACTCCCAAAGGATAGGTGAAAGGAAGCTCAAAGTATTCCAATGCTAAAATATTTCTTGAAGAACTGGTTTAAAAGAGTGGAAAATGCCTGTACTTTCCAATTGCTTCTCTGAGACAAGGTTTTTCTCAACACCAAAATCCTAAGAAAAACATCATTAGCCTCCTAATTTCTCTGGCCAAAACAATATTCTCTCTATAGTCCACAGAAAGTATACTGTCAAGAACTGCATGCCACCCACTCACTCTTGTAAGATGTTATCACTTCTCTACGCTGCCACTCTTTATCATCTGAGAAATCAATGCTCACTATGAATTTCCATTGGATAAGAAAATAATTTTAGTTCTAATCATGGGTAAGTACACCTTTATTAAATAGTATATCTACATAGAAACATTCATAGTTTAACCAATCAACCTGCTCCTCCCTAAAGTAATGTATTTGTTTATTTTTATTAAAAATACTGAGACAAAGATACAGCAGTTTGTTATTAGAATTCAAACCAGGGCTAAGAATAAAGAGTACGTATCAAGTCACTATAAAACAGTGAAGAAATTAATATTTCTCTAATTCAGTGCAATTGAACAGCCACTTTATTGGATACTATAAAACTCCTCTATTATGCTAAGAGTTGGGGGATGATTAAAGCACTAACCCCTTGCTTTATGGAGTTAATAATAATCTAGTGGATCCAGAAAACAGTGGGGAAGCTAACAGACACACACAGCACTGCATAATGGTAAAGAAGAAAAATCATCAACTGGGTAGACATCTAGGCAGACTGAACAGCATGTGCAAAAGCAGAGTTGCTTAATAACACAGTATATTCATGGAACTCCAGTGTTAATCATGAAAACAAATTGCAGACCAACAACATTTCACTGGCACATCGGAGTTTTTTGTTTGAGAAAGAGCTCTCTAGCTTCTGGGAGCTGATGTGTTACTATCGGCTAGGCTTTGGTGTTAACAGGAGCAGACCGGGTGGCCACAGCTAGGCCCTAATGTTCTCCTGTTGAACGTAATTTCGCTGAAGTTCAACCTCAAATAAGGCCCTCTGTAACCCTGTCTGAACAAGGACAAAAAAAATAAACATGTCAAACCACAAAATGACCAAGTATCTCCATCCTGGCTAAATGAATGACTATTCCTTCTCTGCAGCTTTAGCCTCATTCTAGCATTCCAGTCTCTAATTTAAGACTTATTAAGATATCCAATCACAGAACTACCTCTGCTTCCTGACCACATCCAATCCATAGTAAAGCCCTGCTTCCTTAACTCTTCCCTAAGACCACCTGATGCAAGCCCAAATCCTTTCTAATACTCTCTTTCTCAAATGCCCTATGGTTCCCATGAATTCCAATGTGTTTTCCCTCACTGCAATGAGGGATAAACCCAACCTGTCAAATCACAGGTGTATTCCTGATGGCTTCTGGCTGGATGATAGCGACTTATTTTTCTTTTCATGGTGAAATTAATCTCTAAAAATATCAACCAAAAGGGCTGAATTCAAGATTTTAAAATCTCCTTTCCCTCCTTTATATGAAGTGTTTTAAGATTTGCTTGTGGGCATACCATAGCAACGTAATTATATTTTCGGATAACTTGACGAATTTTCTTCATCTCTTCATCCAAGTTGCAAGCCCAAACTTCACAAATTCTTTGGCTATGATCTACAGTTGCTGCTGGCATAGTGAGGGCACAAAGGAGTCTAGATGCCAAGCATCAAAATGTTATACTTGATTGAAGATTTGTTTCATAAAATATTGTATTCTTTATTTATGGACCTGTCAAAATAAAAAACAATATAAAGACCAGATATTTCAAATCTGAATCACAGAATAATTAATCTGGCAGGAACCTTAGGAGTTATTTATTCAAATTTCTTGACTCATAAAAAAAATCAACGTTTAGCAAGTAACTTGCTTAAGGTCACACAGCTAGTTTGTAGAAAAAAAGGAACTATAGCACAGATTTCCTGGTCCTAATATTAGTTATTTTTAAAAAGTTTTTTTTTTTTAATGCATACATACTAATATTTTTATAACTTTCCAGTAAAGATTTCTCGAGTTCAACTAACCCCCTGCATAAAACTTTATAAAGCCATCCATTTCTAGACAAAAATGAAAAATCACTTAAATACATGTGACAAGATCAGATATTACCATGCCAAAAGTGGTGTTTGCTTTTATTCCTCATCAACAAAACATCCAAAAATCCGACTTGATTACCAGATCTATTTTACTGGCATTTATTCAAACTAGACTAGACAGGTCAAAAATGTTTGTAAATACTCTGAGAAAAAAATAATGGCAAAAGAAAATTGAATGTTCGCAGTTACAGAAGGGAAAAAGAACACAATAGAACGTCTGCATTTTAAATTGTTTTTAATTGCCTAAAAATCAGAGCATAGTCCCTGATTACCAAAGATACAGCTCAGATTTCTACTTTATATAGAGTTTAGGTTGATTCTTCGGCAGAGAAATTTCAAATTCTTCTGCATTTTTCATATAAATTGAAAAAAAAAAAAAACATAACAAGAGTAAAAAGAGGGCCTTACGACTGTCTTCTAACCTCCGAAAAGTCAGAAATATAACTGAATTCTCCAAGTAAAGAAACCAAAGGAGATCCAGGACATCCCTCCTCTATATATCTCCCACCCCAATAAACACACACGTACGCACACACACACACACAGAGACTTGGAAAGACCCTGCAGTTTTACACTGTTTTCCTCCACCTCTCTCTCTACTGCAGTCCCAAGAGCCCCGAAGAGGCACCGAAAGCCTTCTCATTACTGGAGATAGCATTTCCGTACTGCATGCAGGCTCCCAGAGAAATGAGAGAACGGCACAGAGGCATTCAAATCATAGATAACTCTCTTCCCTGGCAGAGTGCCAGTGCGAAGGTGCTGATAACACTGACTGGAGCTACACTGACTAGCGAGCACCGCCGCGTGAAGGAATACGAAGAGCTGAGACCTAGGCCATCGCCCTCCACTCCCAATTTCCGTCCCGCTACGAAGCCCCAGGTACAAAGCCTTTGCGTCATCACTACGCGCCAACCCTTTGACAAACCCCCAGCCCCAGTTACCCAGCCCCCCACCCGCCGCCAGACTCCTTCCTCAGCCAGCCGCACTCCAGCTGGCGCCATGGCGCACCCTCTCAGATTCATGGTCCCCGCCCCCTTCCTACTTCCCTAGCCCTCCCCTCCCCCCGCAGGATTGCGGCAGATGCAAGATCTACTTGTGTCGCTGAGCTCGCGCTCCTCCTCCTCCTCCTCGCCATAGAGACAGCACCCGGCGGCGGTGACGGTGGCGGGAGCGGCGGCGGCAGCGGGTGCCCCATAGACACCTCTCGCCCAGCAAGGGGGAAAGGCGAGCCGGAGCTGCGCCGAACCGTGCTGCGCCGTCGCTTTTCGCACGTCCTGGCGGGGGCGCTAGATGATGACGTAGCACGCAGAGGGGGCGGGGCACGCAGGTGACGGCGGCGCGGCTGGTGGATCGCTGGGCGGTCGGGCTGCTTGACTGGCTGGCTTGGCGTCTGGGCCGTGAAAGTGTGACTGCCTGTTCTTGCCGGCAAGTTCCCCTCTCCAGCTGCCCGCCCTTCATAGCATGTCCCCCAGAACCCGGGGAGCGCAGGCAGGGCTGGCTTAGAGAAGACGCGGTCGCCAGCGCTTGGGCCACGGACGTCCCAGTCTCCTCCTCTGTCTCTGGAGAACCACCGGGCCGAGCGGCTGGGAGAAGCAAGCCAGAGCCTTCCAGGGCCTCGGGCCCGGGGACCCAAGGAGGATGAGCTGGCTCTTTCCCCTGACCAAGAGCGCCTCCTCCTCCGCAGCTGGGTCCCCCGGTGGCCTCACCAGCCTCCAGCAGCAGAAGCAGCGCCTGATCGAGTCTCTCCGGAACTCACACTCCAGGTGACTGGTCGCTGCCTCTCCACCGGAAGAAAAAGTAGGGCGGGAGGGCGGGCTGCTCTTAACTACCCTCGCCGTCCCTCAGGTCTGCTCCCCAGCAGCTCCTCCTGTGGTTTACCTCCCGTGGTTCTGGGTCACACGCTTGCTCTCCCACTCCTGTCCCCTTTTACTGTTTTCCTCCGGACCCTCCCTGCCTCCTGCCCCACCGCTGCTCAGCGCTTCTAACTCGGATTTGCTCATCCCTACTGACACATCGCTGCTGACTTTAATCTCTCTCACAGTCTATTTCCAGTATCCCTTGCTGTCCCGGCTTCCCCACTAATCTTTCCCTTTGCTCACCTTATTGCCGCCTCGGCAGAATTGTTAAAATACAATTGCGAAGAGTAATCTCCAGGTTTCACAAAGAATGGAAAATAGAACTGTTGCAACATCAAAGGAAAGGGAAGCCAGAGTTTTCATCAGTGAATGCTTCTCGTATGAGAGTCACGTAGTCTGTCCTCTTTGAGTCTCTAAGATGTACCCTGTTCCAGCAGCCTCTCCCCATCTCACAGCTACCAGTGCCTGCACATTTCTCACGCCTTTCATAGTCTTGCTCCACACTCAAGAATTACCTTATGTTCATCTTGATTGTTCTGTTGTCTTCCTATGAGTTTTTCATTTTATCGTGGTCAGTTTAGAAATATATTTACAATTCATATTATTTCAACTCTTTTTACTATAAATTGGCTTGCTGCAGCCTTTTACATTGCAAAGGCCTGTGGCTTCTAACGGTTTTCAAAAATTATAACTGCTTCTTTATATTATACGCATTTTGCAAGTATATTAACAGTTTCACACTATTTTATATAAAGATGACAACGTTGTCAACATTGTTAAGTCCCTAACCCCCACCCTTTTTTTTTTTTTTTTTTTTTTTTGAGACAGAGTCTCGTTCTGTTGCCTGGGCTAGAGTGCAGTGGTGCAATCTCAGCTTACTGCGACCTCTACCTCTCGGGTTCAAGCAATTCTCCTGCCTCAGCCTCCCGAGTAGCTGGGATTACAGGTGCACACCACTATGGCTAGCTATTTTTTTTGTATTTTTAGTGGAGATGGGCTTTCACTATATTGGTCAGGCTGTTCTCAAACTCCTGACTTGATGTTATCCACCTGCGTCTGCCTCCCGAAGTGCTGGGATTACAGGCAGGTGCCACCTCACCCAGTCCCTAACTCTTTTAAAGATATTATTTTCGTACAGTTAAAAAATACATACCCTGAGATAATAAAATTGAATAATTCCTGTCCAAAATGGAATAATTTTAAATTAGATAGTCTTGTTAATAGAAAAATTCACTGCAAAATCAGTTTGGCTAAAATAAGGCCCGATGCTGGCTGAACTTCAGGTGTTTCTTGGTTCCTTGTCTCAATTGTTCTGTTTGTTTAGAACGTTCAAAAGGTGAAATTTTACTCTATTTAACGGAAAGGAATGGCAGGCTATTATTGGTGGCTTTCATTTTGGAAAGTTAAGTTCACAAAGTTCTTACAAGTCAGTCTTATTCCAAATCATGTTCAGTACTGAACTTTAAGAGCTATTCTCACAAGATATGCTTATTAAATAAGGTGACTCATTTTTAACATGTTTGTTCCCTTAGAAGTTAATACCTTGGTAGAATAGTTATGTACTGTACCAGTCCTGCTACTACAGAAACACTTTTTGAGAACCACCCTTTTGGAATTAATTGCTTTTAAACCTTAGTAGATATTATTATGTTAAATATTTTCAATGCTGACTAATTTTTTTTCTTCGAGGTTGGAGTTTAATTTTTTAAATATTCCAAAGTCTCTTACTGCTAAGACTGGTAAGTAAGGAAAGCAATTGATCTGAAATTTATAATTTTGGACTCCCAAATAAAGTGAAATTTTATAGAAGGAATTGTTAATGTAAGGAGTTCTGGAATTGGCTTAAGAGGATTAGTAAATACCCTGAATTGGTTGCAGAAAGGATTCATTTCATATATTATTTTTTGAACCAGAAATTTTGAACATATGATTGATTGGACACGGTTGCCGTAGATAATGTAATGTATTTTGTAGTGTTATGAACAAATAACTTTAAATATTCTTTTAAGTTTGTTTGTAAAAATCCTTGAAGTTTTATTTGAGATATTTTACATTTACAAATTATAGTTGAATAATTCTGGAGACGTTTAAGTAGGTCATATGCTTCCAGTTTTTCAAAAAATGGCACAATCCCAGAAAAAATGCCATTCACCTATTCTTCTTAGTCCATCCTTTTAAATAATGACATCTGATATATTTTTTTTGGCAATTTTTAAAAATTATACTTCTAATGACATCTATTTTTAAGCTAGGATGTAAAAATAATCTATCTGTATGGTATCTGATGTAAAGATGGAAGTGGTGTGACATCTTTCCTCATCAGTCATAAGGGGGACAGCTGAAACTCCTATAACAAAAGACAGGTAAACAAGAGAAAAGTATAACAGATTTATTTAATCAACGTTTTACACTGCATGGGAGCCTTCAGAGCTGAAGCCCAAAGACCCAAGGAGAACTGTTTATATTCATGATTAGCTTCAGTGAAGAATGGACAGCCATGCAGAAATGTGTTGGACAAAAGTATATAGTAATGGTAATAGACAGAGGTGGGGGAAGCCCACAAGGCCTATCTGTTCAGATTTTTCTTGGCGTCTCTGTATGGCATTCTCCTCTTCTAGTGTACGGCCTGGGACATCTGCGGAATGAGGGTCTTCAGGGCAGAAGGGAAAGTGAACTTTCTGTATTTATGTCCTTTGTAGGGAAGAAGGGTTCTAGTTTGTAATATACCACCTTGGGGAAGAGGAATCCTGGTTTCTGTGACTTCTTCAAGGGAGGAAGAAGGGCAGGAGAAGGTCAGAGAGAACTTTGCTTCTGAGGCTTCCAGACTTTTTAATTCAAAGTACTCAGTTTGCCAAAGTGCAATATTTTGGGATATTGTTTCTGAGTCCCAACACTGGCAGTATGTTCCCTGATTAGCTAAATTAGTGGTACAATTTTCACTTAAAGATTTTTGTGCAAACAGATACCAATTGGTTATTCTAAAGGTATGGTGTGTAAAAGTTGAAAGAATTTCCAATTTTTTTATGAACTGTACAAAAACTTGTTACATGAGGAACATCAGTATCTTGTTACATGCTGCCTACCTCCCTCATGTTTCATATTATGTCTTTTCTCCAAATGTAAGGTCAATAGATGAATATCTTTTTTTGGCAGTGAAGGTATCTTTTTATGTCCTTATAATTCTGAAAATTCTACTTTAACAGTCTCTTTAAGTCTCTTTCTCTAATGATTATGGACTTCTTTTTAGTCGCCGTAAATTCTTATCTCCTCATCTTTCTCTGTCCTCTACAAAAAAATAGGTGAATTTTATGTATATTTCTTCATCTGAGTCTCACCAATATGCAGGGCAAATGAGATAACTGTCAGATGACAAAATTAAAAAAAAAAAAAAGTGTTGTAGCCAAAGTGTTTAAGTCAGCTGTGAAAATAGAAACTAGAAATTATGTAGACTGGGCTCAAGTAATATGTTCTATCATCTGAGTAACAGTTATCACACTATTCAGTTTATCACCAAAATTCCTGACTTTATGGTCAGGAGTAGAACAAATTCTAATGGTTCTTATACTTCCTGAGGAAGCTGACTTTATGGACACTGTTGGTTTTTTCCTCTGTGAGGCCATATACTTTGTGAAGGCTGGGATCTTTCAACCCAGCCTCCACTGGGGGTGAGTAAGAATTGTTTACACCAATGGAGATGGTCTCGTCACTCTTCCTCCAAGTTACTGTGGAAGCAGGATTCTTGGTCAGTGGGTGTTGGAGAGCAATTCTGCTGGCAAACTGCTCAAAATGTTTTCTCAATAATAGTAAGAAATGTCTGGGAAGAAGAAATGTCTCATGTTTTGGATATTGTTACCTTAGACAACTCTGATCCTCCAATTCCTATCAATAAAATCAGGAATTGTGATTCCTGTCATGCAGGATTTTTGATAACTAAATAATATATTTAAGACATTTGGAAATGTATCTGGCACATAGTAGGCATATGACAATTACATTTTCTTTTTTCCACTGGATGGAATCAGTGTGCCTGAAACCTTTGCCTCTTAGCCTGTAAGCTTCTAGCCAGCTTGTTGTTTATGGATCTCTCATAAGCCTACCTACAACTCATTTGTCTCTGGCAGGACTACTTCTGACTTTCTGTTTAGAAAGCAAGTTCATTCCAGAGAGTTAGTTTCTTCACAAGTGGAATGAACCCATTTTGAAAGGCTTTAGGCATGATGCAGGTAAATAACCTAAAATATTATCTTACACACAGGAGATGTAAACAGCAGTAGTTATGTATTTTGTTCTTGTACATATCTTTAAAATAATAGTGCCATTCTCTGTAGTCTTTAAAAATTGTTTTACTACCTTCATTTGCTGCTAGTCTCCGGATTCCATTGTTCTTTCTGATTGCCTAAATGTTTAGCCTTAAAACTTCTTATAGTGTCAGCTCTTGTGTAGTTCTCCCCCACAGCTGCTAAGCTTTATGCTTTTGCTCACAGCTGTAAGACTTTCTCCACCCATCTCATGGGTTTCTGAGGAAGCTTAAATTCCATGCTCTTTTTACAGAATTGACTCTCAGCTCATAAGGACTCACAAACAAACTTGGTAGCACAAGAGATTGTAATAAGAAGATATAGGTGTTGTGTGTATTTGAACCTGTCTCATGTTATATATTTTTATGAAGAGGATCCAAGTTTACTTTCTATTTATTTTTTGAGACAGGGTCTCACTCTGTCACCCAGGCTAAAGCACAGTGGCATGATCGCAGCTCGCTGCAACAGTCCTCCCACCTCAGCTTCCCAAGTAGCTGGTACTGCAGGCACATGCTATCATGCCCAGCTAATTAATTTAATTTTTTTTTTTTTTTTTTTTTGGTAGAGATGAGGTTTTGCCATGTTGCCCAGACTTGTCTGTCAAACTCC